GACCTGGTTATTGAGGAGGGCTGGCCAGCGTGAACTGGCCTCCCTAAAAACTCAGTGCCACTTACACATATCCCTGGGATACATGGGAATGTAGGGATTTCCATTTTCTTCCTTTGGTCAATGGACAAGCTATTCACCCTTGAGCCTACTCTGTTCTGAGCACTATGCTAGGCACAGGAGAGAGCAGAGACTAAGATCGGTACAGTTCCACCCCCCTGTAGCTTGCAGGTCCAAGCACTCATTTTCATTTGAGTCAATATGGCAGGCCAATACTTGAACCTTCTTAAGAATCACCTCAACTAAGCACTGGCACATTTTTTGCGGATTTCACAGTACACAGGTGGATTAAACTCTGGTGTCATAACAACCCCGCCATTTATTCATTTTATTAACCTTTTTGCATTTACTTTGCCTGTGGTTTGCTTTCCCCACTAATAGAATGGGCACTTTGGGTGCTAACTCAGCTGTGTTCCCCTGGGCTTTATTTCTTTCTAGAACTTAGCCCTTGACAGGACTACCTTTCAGAGGCATGGGCTCAAATTATGGCTTTGCCACTTATTAGTTGTGTTCTTGGAAAAGTCAGTCTGTCTTCCTGAGCCTCAGGTGTTTCATCTGTGAAATGGGGATATTAATTCCTCATTTGCAGAGTTGTTGTGAAGATGACGTGGAAACAATGTAAGTATCTAGTGGGAACATGGCAGTGCTCAATGAATGCTAGTTCTCTTCCTTTCTTTCTTTATTAGTCGACCCTTGCACCAAAGTCATCCTTCCCAGGAGTCTAACTAAAATGATTTAGACAGCCAAACAATCGTAAATCACAGTTAGGTATTACCCAGGCGGCAGATTCTGTGGCGGGTCTTTGACAGACATGAGTGGTCTGGCTGGTCATTCCTGCTGTATAGTGAGAGCGATGAAAAGAAAAATCTAACTGCAAAGGTGATTTTGTAGGAAAAACATTCCAATGTATTTCCTATTTCAATAGACATTATTGATTTTTTTTTTCTCTTGGGTGATCTGAATAATTGGAGTTGGTTAATTAGATTAAGATTTGTAAACCTTCCAGGATTACATTTTTGGTTTATTAAACTATTTCAAGATGTATGACATGTTAATCTGTAATACATGAAATGTTCTTTGGGGGAGGACAGCAGGGAGCAGGTAAAAGTCATGACGTAACATGTAATACGTTGTTCTCAGCATAGGACAAGTGTTATGCACAATTTTTAAAAATTCATTTTCTTCTTTTGGAAACACTATCACCAAAAGAAACGGAGTTACCTTGCTATAGAACTGCATGTCTAAGGCAAGATCTACAGCCATGTATTTACATTTCTTTTACTTTCATATTTTTAATAATGAAGGGGTTTGGGGGATTTTTTCTTTTGTTTTTCTTTAATGAGCTTGCACATACACAGCCTATGGGTTCTCAGTCTTTACAAGCCGTTTGATTAAAAAGCCCAGTAGTTGTGGAAGATAAACAAACAAACAAACACATAGATACGGAGAATGGATTGTTGATTACCAGAGGGCAAGGGGGTGGTGGGAGGGCAAAAGCGGTAAAGAGGCACAGATGTATGGTAATGGATGGAAACTAGATTTTTGGTGCTGAACATGATACAGTCTATACAGAAGGTGAAATAGTACACTTGAAATTTACACAATGTTATAAACTGATTTGACCTCAATAAAATAATTTAAAATAAAGAAATAAAAATAAAATAAAAAATAAAACCAGAAAAAAAAATAAGTGCAGTGATTTGGTTGCTAACAAAGGTTTCAAAGTATAAAACTGAGTTTAAGGAACGCTCAATGAAAAGAGCTCAGACTCAGAGGAGTTAGGAGACTGTTCCCTAGGCTGGAGCACAAGCTATTCCTTACAAATAATGATTCTGCATGGCTGAGGAATAATTTAAAATGTAGTCTTGTAAAGTTGACAGGGTCTTTCATCTCATTTTCTGATCACCCTTTCTATTTCCCAAGTGGGCAAAATGAGCCATAGCTTCTACCACGGTACCGTCGTTTTAACTGATAGCCCCGTAAATCAAGTTAATTCTTGTGTCACAAAGAAAGAGTCTGAATTTTCATTACTTCCAAAAGCTCTTAACTATAGGCTTCAGACACATAGCATTTTAGGTTAAAACTGCTCTGTATATGATCATCATTTTTACATTTTGGTATCATGGTTGTATGTGCAACCTACTCGAATTAGGTCTCAATCTTTCCTGTTAGCTGGTGTAGTAGGAGAATGGAAGGGGCAGGTCACTGTCTTTTAATCAGCACTGGACAGTGTTCTTGCTGTGACATGCCCTCAGATATGCTTGCACACTCTTCACACTTACTCTCTACAGCCGAAAGGCAGGAAACACATCAGGTCGCTGCATTTTAAAAGGTGCGTGTAACAGTATCTTCAAGAATGTCAGGCATTTGAGTCAAGTTTCCACAAATATAACCATAAATGGCAGAAGGAAGATTGTTCTTTTCCTCCAGAGTAAGGAGAGTAAGGATCCTCTATAACCTCAAACTAGACTGAATCTTGAGCTCATGAAGGTTATACTATCTGGTTGCAACAACTCGTTTCTTCCAACAATTTTAAGATGCAAGTTTACCACGTTATCTGCTTTCTAATTATCTGTACCTCTCTTCATCACTTCCAGTGAGAATTTTACATTTAGTGACATGGTGACTACTTATTATGGCACATCATCACAATTGTGGGGGAAATTGATAAAGATCCCCGTGTCTCCATCCATCAGCGGGAATCAATAAAGAGCTACAGCATGAAGAAACCTCAGATGGTGCTGATAAATGGTGAGGATTGGAATAGGGCTCTGGGTCACAAAGTGGGAAGTCAGAGATCATCTTTCCCACAGTGTCAGCATGGGGGAGGGGCTTGAGGAGAGGCTGACCTGACCCCCCGTCTGGCGGGGGGCAGGGTTGCAATGCTTTCCTGTGCAAGTGCAGCGTAGCACTTGCTCACCCACAGGTGCGCCTGGCTTCAGGTAGAAAGCATGCGTCTAAAACACGTGCAGACACTGTTTAGAGATCACGGCACTTTTTTTTTTAAACATTTTAAGGTAAGCATTACCTTATAACAATGAATTTACTACATGCAGGCACTATCCCATGTATTTTTAAGTATATTAACAGATTTTGTCATCTCTATCATAGTGAAAAATGGGCGCTACTATCCCCATTTTGTAGATGAAGAATCTGAGCCCCGGAGAACACAGTAACTTGTCCACATTCACATGGCTAGTAAGTCAGGGATCAGCACACACTGTCTGTAAAGGGCCAGGTAGTGAATATTTTAGCCTCTAGAGTCATACAGTCTCTGTCTCAACTACCCAGCCCCGCCCTTGTGGAGCGATAGCAGCCATCGACGGCACATAAATGAATGAGAACGTTCGTGTTCCAGCGAAATTTAGTTGATGGACACTGAAATGTGAATTTCACATAGTTTGCGTGTCATAAAATATTCATCCCTTTGATTTTTTTCAACCATTTAAAAATCTAAACACCTTTCTTAGCTCGGGCCATATAAACACATCAGCAGGCTGGGTTAGCTCTTGAGCTGAGTTTGCTGCAGTAGGTGATAGAGCAGGACTTGAATCCAGGCAGTGCAGTTCCAGCAAGCTCTTAACCATCGTGTATATATGTATCTGCCTATATCATGATAATAATAGTATCGTGATCTTTATAGAAAACTCAGCAAAGGGGCCGGCTCGGTGGCGCAAGCAGTTAAGTGCGTGCGCTTTGCTGCAGCAGCCCAGGGTTTGCCAGTTCGGATCCCGGGCGTGCAGCAACACACTGCTTGTCAAGCCCTGCTGTGGTGGCCTCCTATATAAAGTGGAGGAAGATGGGCACGGGGATTTGTTGTTGTTGCTGTTTGTTGCTGTTGATGTTATTGTTGGCACTGTTTGTTTGTCCAGTGACTTAACTGAACTAATTCTATGTAGTCTGTATTTTTCGTCATGTGTGGCCACTAAAGTCTTTGCTCATTTAGCTTAATGGTCAGCTAAGGATTACACATAAATTTTCAAGTGCCTGGAACAAATAAATCTGCTAGTCTTTGCTGAGGGCTCTGTGTGCATGCTGGGGTTGTTGTCTTCAGTGTTCAGGCAGGCAGTTTACAACTCTATGTTCACCTTTACTTTCTGCTTCTGTTGAGTCTCAAGATCAGTGAGAGATGAGAGAACTTTGGTCCTTCTCAGATATTTCCCAGGTATGAACACACCCCCAGCACGTGCCTGGGCTTCCAGATTCCCAGGAATGTCAGAGCTTTTCAAAGCCCTTTATGGATAGCTCATTCCCAGCTTTTCCTTTAAATTTTTGTCTAGCTTGTTTTCTCCACCTGTTATCACCACCTCAGGCAGCTGCCTGGGTTAAACACTTGCCTGCTGGGAAACAGTACTGAGTGAGATGTGAGTCAGATCAAATAAAGACAAGCTATGTGGGGGGTGGGGGGCGGGTCTTGTAAGGTACTGAAAGACAGGTCAAATAATGTCAGTTATCTAGTGCCAACCCCATTTTGCCCCCTCTATAGTTTGCTAGACTGCAAGTTTTCATTGTGATTGAAGAGTTGTTTTTCAAGGCTATCATGAGTCTGGGGAGAGGGGAATAAGACTAGGGAATTAAGATGCCACAAAGCTTGCTATTCTGAGATTCAGTCATTTCATTTGGAAAAAAAACTCTCTGAATTGTCACAAGACTTTGGTTAATTTCCGGAGTTCTAAACAAGTTATTTTGACAATTTTGCGAGTGTTCTTGTTGCTTTAATGAAGGAGAGGAGTTTTGGAGGTCCTTTATCCACCATTACTGCTAATATCACCAGCAACCTTATAGTCAAACAGCAATGTCAGGCACGTCAGAAGGGAGTATGTATGATCAAGTTATGAATTGTGCTGGCCACATCTCTGGTTTCAGAGGAATATAAGTACCCTAGGGTGGAATGCATTGGAGGATCAATCATGAGTAGAGCAAGGACTAAAGTTTTGAGGCTTTCAGCCATCACTGTTGCCTTTTACCAAAACTAGGAGAAGAATTCAGGCATTTAATGGTCACAGGAAAAAGAAAGGAGAAAAGGGAGATTAAATCCTATTTTTTTTCTATCGTGAATGTCCCAAGAGAGATGACCTCCTGATTCCAAGAGGCTTCTTTTGAGGCTCTACATGTTGATTGCATGGAGTAAGACCTGGTTTGTTATCCATCTTTGGTCCTACAAGGATTTCCATGCAGATGTCATGTCAGTAATGATTGGAAGCCCCTGATCAGCCATGGGAACGCTAGTTTCAATTTGCGTACAAGGCAATATGTTCTGCAAGCACATCCCCAACCTTCACAGGGCAAGTGGCAGAGTTTTTCAGAAAAATACTCATCTCGATTAGGACAGAACTAAGACTGGTTACCAGGCTCTAGGTTTTTTTGTTTGTTTGTTTTTTCACTACTGACTATAAAACTTCCACTCCACAGTCCTTCAATTTAAAATTAGGGTGGTGGTACCTGCTGACCCATCTCATCCAGACACTGTCGATGCTGATGGGAGCTGGGCCCTGGTTGCTAGCCAAACTGTTATATGTCAAGTTGATTAAAAGTTGGGAGTATTTGGAATTTTATACAGAACACAGAATTATGAGTATGAACCCCAAGTCTCTATCGTGCCATAGAAGTTTGGAACTCTGTCTTCAGATTGCAGATGTGGGCAGACAAGGTGCAGCATGATTTCCACTCAAAGATGGGATCTCTATTTGGAGGCAGGTAATTCCACTCCAAACATGGACTAAGGTGTTCAACTCAGAAGCCACTTATAGTCTTGGCATGCGTAATTGTTCTTTGTTTTTCCTTTGAAAGGAAGTTTAAAAAAAGATGGTATGTAAAGGTTCTCATCGCCAACTCTAATGTGTGAGGTGGGGTTCCCACAAATCCAAGCCATTCTCCAACACCAGCTGGGTGTCCTGTAGTTCACCTCAATTCCGACACTGTCTACCTATAGATAGTGTCAAATCCCACAGGTAAAGAGCTCAGTCCTACAAGACTGCCCATCCCCCAAATTCAAACACCAATTGCAAGTCTAGGTTATCACCTATGCTTCTGATCCACTGGCTATAGATTGGAAGTTCCAACAACCCACTCCTTGGGCTTGACTGATTTGCTAGAACAGCTCACAGAATTCAGAAAAACATTTACTTACTAGATTACCAGTTTATTATGAAGAGATAGAACTCAGGAACAGCCAGATGAAAGAGATGCATAAGGTAAGGTGTGGAGAAGGGGCACAGTGTTTCCATGCTCTCTCCAGGTGTGCCACTCTCCCCAAATCTCCATGTGTTCACCAATCCAGAAGGTCTTCAAACCCCATCCTTTTGGGTTTTTATGGAGGCTTCATTACACAGGCATGATAGGCAAATCATTGGTCATTGGTGATTCAACTCAATCTCCAGACCCTCTCCCCTCCCAGGAGGTCAATGTACTTAAAGTTCCAACCCTCTAATTACATGTTTAGGTCCCCTGGAAAACAGCCCCCATCCTTAGGTTACCTAGGTGCTTTCCAAAAGTCATCTCATTGATGTAACAAGACATCTTGATCACTCAGGAAATTCCAGTGGTTTTTGGAGCTCTGTGCCAGAAAGGAGAACTAAGACCAAATGTATATTTATTATAAATCACAATATCACAGTATGCATGCCTTAGGTGCTTTGGAAGTAAATAGAGATAGAGGTTTCTTATGAAAATCTAGTGAGTCTCGTGGTTAAGGAGGCTCCCATGGGTGTTCACGAACAAAATAGATGACTAGCAGGAACGGTTAAGTCGGCAAGCAGGGAAAAGTACCTGAAGACTTCTCAATGTTCCTTCCGATCTGCTGGTTCTGTAAATTCGAGGCTTTGTTTGCTCCAAGAGCCAAAACTCTTTGACATAAAGCATGACATTTATTGATTCAACAAAAATTTATTAAGCTCTGACATTGTGCCAGGCATTATGCCAGGAGCTGGAAACAGAGAGCTACTGTTTGGCTAAAATTAGTTAACAATGGCAAATGAGCACAACACAGTTTGTAAAATTGCTGTTCAGGACAGAAGAAAGTGATCTTACCTACACTGAAAGTTGGGGGATATTTTCCAGATGTTCCTAATGAACACTTACAAGCTTTCATTTCTTCACTCATTCATTCCCAAATATATATTGAGCACCTACTCTGTGTTAGGTAGAAGGAAAATATTTAGTAGGGCACAGCGGATATAATTTCCCAAGTTAGCATGTCAAGAACTATTTTTTTCCACATTACATTATGTGGAGAAGTCAAGGCCCTGAATGGGAAGGCATGAGAGGCAGGAATAGGGAGACAGAAAGGTGGTAAAGAGAGGCAGATGGGAATAGAGGTCAGTTCTGATTTACCTCAAGGCTCTTTGCTAATTTCAAAATACTGGTCCCAAGAATCCAAAACCAATGATAAGTTTAGGTTTAAAACTGAATTTCTGTACCCTATGGACTCAGGAACATTCTAGAATAAACTAGCCAGCCAGATTATAAGGGGTTGTATCTAAAGCAATGGTATAAATTCCTTCATGAAACACGGTCAGAAAGAACCCATTAATGTGAGGCAAGGCTCTTTGCACCATGAGAAAGTGTCAGTCGTAGTCTAAAAGGGGCTAAGACAGACATACCTGCTCCCCTTCTGTACTATCCGGTTGCCTTACTCTCCTGACCTGCTCAAATTTGGGAGCACACCAAAACTCCAAACAGCACGAGTTATCAAACGGTGCAGTTGTCCACTGATGGATCCTACTTACCTGTCAGTGTCCCTCCCTTTTAATTATACCACTTTACAACTTTGCTAGCTTTTGAAAGATTCTTATTTTTCTAATAGAAATTGTTGCATCCTGAGTTTCTCATCCACTCGAGTCCATTGGTTCAGGAACATTTGCAAGGAGGAATTGGTTACAGAGCACTGGTCTAACTTATGCAGCCAGGGAAGTTGCAAGGAGGGGATAGAAAAACAAAGACACATGTTCCTCCTCCATTTTGTTTCTGCCTATATCTGTTTAAAAATAAAATACGTTTGTGAATCACTTTCCCTAACTGCCTATAGTGCACTCTTACACAACGCACAAACCTATCATGTATCCCCTATCTTACTACCCTGTTTCTCTCTCTCCTGTCACCCTCCTTCCCACAACATATGGTCATTCTTTCTATCCTGAGAATCCAGGCTACTTCAAATGACCCAATTCCAACCTTGACTCCTAATGGATAAAGATGGACAAGGCATGTGAAGGGATTTCTGTGTCTACAGGAAACACAGAAGGGGTGGGAAAAATCTTGTCACAAGGGTGAGAGGGAAGAACGGGAGAAAATCACTACTCTAATAAAGTATCATTTTTGGTTTTTGCAGATAATTTGCTCCTACATCTTCATGCCCTTTTCCTTCATGATGGGAGTGGACTGGCAAGACAGCTTCATGGTTACCACACTCATAGGCTATAAGAAATTCTTCACTGAAGTTGTGGCCTATGAGCACCTCTCAAAATTGGTGGATTTAAGGAAAGAGGCTGGACCCAAATTTGTGAATGGTGTGCAGCAGTATATGTCAGTGAGTAAATATTTTTATTTTTCAGTGCACTTCTTTATCACATACATACACTCATCAAATAGTTACTGGTGCCTCTGTGTGCCAGCCCAGGCACTTGGGATATATCAAAGAAGAAAACAGACCCCAAATCCCAGAACTCATGGAGCTATAATGAGCATAGCACCTCATTATTTTCAGTTATGCTGAATTAATCGTTGTGTCTCTCTGTGTGTGTGTGTGTGTGTGTGTGTGTGTGGAGAAGCACAGCTAATCTTTACCACTATGATCATTTACTGCTGAGTGCCATGGATCCAAACCCAGAGTCATAGGAACTGGAATCAATCCATCAACGAACATTTATCGAATGCCTTCTGTGTGCAATGTACCTAGGTACTGAGGCCACAGCATTGAACAAGTGACGAGGCCTCTGCCCTCATGGGGCTGATAGTCTAATAATCATGAAGTTCTCTTCTTTTCAGCTTAAGGAATTCTATGAACTCTGAGAAACTTCCTAAATACAACATAGTGTCTGGACATCCTAAAGCAGTGGTGAGACACAATTGCTGCTCTCCAAGTATATGAGTGAAGAGAAGAAGCTCAGGGTCTCTGATCTGAACCTTTGAGACAAGCACCCTATAACTATGTGAGGACTTCAGGTCAATAGCCTTCAAGGAGATGCTCATGTCTCCTTGGCCTTGGATGGGATAAGGGAACTCAGGTGAGGCTATTATTTATGCCATATTTACAGCTGAGTCTCCACCTATTATTTTCCTAAAGAACAGAATTGTCACACATGGAAACTCTTAGGGAAATGGTAAACATTTCTGACCAGCACCATTACCCATTGAAACAACATTTGGAATTAATGTCTTAGGCATATATTGGGCTTTACAAGGACAGGGGAGGGGAAGCCTACTGCCCAAGCTTCTAATTGAGACTGCCCACCTCTGAACAGCCCACCACTCTCCCAGCCTCCCAAGACCAAACATGCAAATTTACTCCCACGTACACAGAATAACAGCATACTCTATGAGAGTGCTGATTTGTACATTATCATCAGGGGTATTTGACCCACACCTCTGATATGAACAGTGGCTCTGTAGGTCTCCTGTTCCTCCAGTGTTCATTCTTCTGCTGAGCACGCAGTGGGGCTTGGTCGAATGTCCTTGTTTTCTGGATGCCGCCACAAACCAGCTTTCCTGCCAAAAGTAAACAATAGGCTAAATTAAGTGAAATGTCTTTCATCCCCAACTGCCAGTTGCCAGGAGGAAATAGTTTTGTTAATGAGCAAAGCAAGATCACAGTTCTGGCAGTGCTGAGCAGGTTTGTGAGCAGGTTATTAAGAGGGTAGAGACAGGACAGTAGAGCTGATTCGGGTTAGGGGTGAGCCCAACCAGGGGAAGGAACACAGAGGACATTTAGGAATATGAGCTCAATGGCTTCTGTTATCATTGAGTCACAATGGGAAAAGCATTTTGTTTTTCCCAATTTCTTATATCTAATGAACAAAGTGTGGATGAGTCCCTGCAATTTCTGTTTACCAACCAAGAAGTCGTGGGGGTGTCCCAACAGTCTCCCAGAAAAGTTACCACATGACTGAAGTGTAAGATCTGGGTCCATAAGGCAAAAACCGCATGTTATCCATTGAATTATGCCCACTGCTGACATCCATCTAAGGTAAGAGATCAGAAGGTCTATGTCGCACTTTATTACTCCAGTTTCTCTTGCTTAGATTAAAGATAATACTTTGCATGTTTGTTTGTTTGTTTACACGTAATACATTTCATGATACAGAATTCAAAAGGTACAAAAAGGAGTAGAGGGAAAAGTGAGTCATCCTGCCTATTTCCCTGCCACTTACCTCCTCTCCCTGTTCCATATTATGCTCACTGTTCTTAGCCTTGCTCCTTGCACTTGATAAGATATCTTGAATGCCTTTCTATACCAGTGCCTGTGACATAGTATTCTATTCTATGAACACAACATAGTTTATTTTAACCAGTTGCTTGTTGATGAACACTCTTACCAATATTTTACTATTGGAAGTACTACAATGCCTGTCCTTGTACATATGGCATCTTTGCTCATGGGCAAGGAGAGCTGTAGGATGCCTTATTAATTTCCTAGTGCTGTTCTTTCCATCATGTAATCTTGCACATTATGGGCATAGACAAAGGGGAATCATCCCAGCCTCCTTTACCTCTTATTATAGAGTGTTTTTTTTTTTTTTTTTGTGAGGAAGATCACATCTTCCTCACAAAAGAGCTAACATTCCTGAGCTAACATCTATGATAATCCTCCTCTTTTTGCTGAGGAAGACCGGCTCTGAGCTAACATCTATTGCCAATCCTCCTCCTTGTCTTCCCCCCAAAGCCCCAGTAGATAGTTGTACGTCATAGTTGCACATCCTGCTAGTTGCTGTATGTGGGACACGGCCTCAGTATGGCCGGAGAAGCGGTGCGTCGGTGCACACCCGGGATCCGAACCCGGGCCACCAGCAGCAGAGCGCGCGCACTTAACCGCCAAGCCACGGGGCCGGCCCCCTTTACCTCTTATTATAAAACCCTGCATGGCCACATCTCCGTGTCCTTCTCCACAGATGCCCAGAAAGGAGAAAGAGGAGTCTCTAGTGCTTTATGCCATCTCCCTCCCATGGTCTCTTAATAAGCTTGCCTGGTTTTGAAGCCCATAGAACTAAATGAAAAGCACTAGACAGAGCAGGGGACGAGGGTGAGCTTTTCCAGAAACAGTGGAGTGCTCAAATACGTGAAATGTTCTCCCCTGCCTGCTATATGCATGCTGAATGAAAACATCAACAAAGGAGTTCTCAGAAACCATGAAAAGAAGAGGGGCCTTATCAACAAAAACTTCCCAGGACTACTTGAGTCTTGACTGTGAGCTTTAAAAAATCCAGTTAGTGAAAGAAAAGGCACCGCCAGTTTTGAATGTAGCATTGGCCTGGTTTGTTCTGTGAACCAAATCATAGATTTTTCAGGATTTGGGGGAAAAAAATTACTGCCTCAATTGTGTGGGTGCCTTTGCCAGATTGGCTGTGCTTCTGGTGAATAATAAAGTGCACTGGATCTTCCAGGCCTCCTGTAGTCAGTCCCTTAACCTGAGAAAGAACTATCTGGCCTGAGCAGCACCTCTTGAGTTCAGAATAGAGGTGAAGGGCCACGCTCACACTTCGACGAATTCACCTTCCATCTTCTCATGGCCCAGTGAGAGGACAGTCCATTCTCCCACTTCCAAGCGGGCACCTAATATTCTCATGGGATGATCAGAGGTGAGAAACAAAGAAAGGCAAGCACACACCACAGCCAGACTGAAAGGGCTCCTGTGATACCCGTGAGCTTCCTTTTTACTAATGTAATTCCTTTTACATTATATCATTTTTACTGAAGTGTAATTTTCATAAAAAAGTCCAATTTTTGGGTTTACATGTGAGTTTTGACAAATGTGTCACCTGTGTAATCATGACCACAATCAAGATATAGAACATTTTCATCACACCTAGAAAATCTTCCTCATGGCCAGTTGTAGTCAACAGCCCCCCACCCCACCCCGACCCAGTCCCAGGCACCCAATGATCTTTCTTTACTGATAGATTACATTTGCTTCTTCTAGAATTTCATGTGAATGGACTCACTTAGCATATGTGTTGTTGCATATATTAGTATTTTCCTTTTCATTGCAGAGTAGTATTCTATTTTATGGATATCCACAATTTGTTTGTCCATTTACCTGTTGAAGGACATGTGGGTTGTTTCCAACTTGGGACTATTAGGAATAAAGCTGCTATAAATATTCATGTACAGTTCTCTTGTGGGCATATGTGTTTATTTCTCCTGGGAAAATTCCTAGAAGTGGGATTGCTAGATCCTACAGGCAGTGGATGTTAACTTGATAAGAAGCTGTCAAGTATGTTTGCATTTTACTAACAAGCTATCAGTTTACACTCTCACCAACAATGTACAAGAGTTCTAGTTGCTCCACGTCCTCACCCACACTTAGTGTTGTCCATGTTTTTAGCCATTTTACTGGTGTGTAGTGGTATCTCATTGTGTTAACTTGCGTTGCCCTGGTAACTAACACTGTCGAACATCTTCTCATGTGCTTATTGGCCATTTGCATGTCTTCTGTGAAATCTCTTTATTCATTTATTAGGTGCTTGTCTTATTATTATTGAGTTATAACAGTTCTTTATACATTCGGAATAAGTCCTTTGTCAAATAAATGTAATGTGAATATTTTCTGGGACCATTTTGTGTCTTCAGCAGCTGGTCCTGTGCCTGGCACATTATAGCAGGTGGCCAGGTCACACTGAATATTAAAAGTTCTCATTCAGCAGAAAGTTACATTTGTAGAGGCCAACACTACCAATTCCAAGTCCTTTGTAGAGTGTCTCTGAATCCACACAGCCCCTTTCTCGGCATTAAATTCGAGGGGAGATGGAAAAAAGAGTCTAGGAAGGAACAGGTGTTTGACACCACACACTGTGCACTTATTTGTCAGTATTGATCCCATAGTCAGAATAGGAAGCCCAGTTAGGATGTCAGATTTACTAACCTGGCTTGCACCACGCATGCACCTGTGTGTTATTCTTATTTACCGATTTGTTCTGAGACAATTGCCACTTATACTCTCTGTGACTTTGCCAATATCATTTCCCTAGGAATAGTGATCTGCATACTCAGTAAGTAAAAAGAATATTCTTCAGCAACAGATGTGGTGTAAACATGCTTCAGATCTCCATGTTGCTCTGTGACATTATTCATGTCAGGAAAAAGGAGGCCCTGCAAGAGCTGTAAATCCTTTGGGGTCTATTTTTTATTGTTTTCTGCAGTATAGTTTTCCTGTGTAGATCCAAGCTAACATCAGGAAGAATTTGCCTGAGTGTACAGGTGCTTCTCCAGCCAAGGGTGACACATAGGTTCCACTTTGCATGCCAGTTCCAGTAGATTTATAATGGCCACCTAGAAATGGATTCTGAGGTCCAATGGAAGTTAAGTGGGAAAATGCTGTGATTAGTTGGTGATGTCTGCCATGGGCACAGAAGTGGATGGTGACAGGTGAGTTGCAGATGTTTTGGATCCTCCCTTGTGATGCATCTGCCTTGCCCAGCCCTCAACATACAGTGTGAGCCCTTCAGATGAAACATAGGACATGTTTCTTCTGTAGAGAATGGATAGCTCTGGGCCTTTCGTTGTGGACAAACTTCTTTTCCTCCCACACCAGAGAACTTCTCTGGACGTGAACTCATCACTTAGCTCTTGAATCTTGAATTTCCCAGCTAAGCTTAAAAAGAAAAAGAAAAGTCAGCTGATCTGAGACTCCAGCCCCAGAACAATTCTCAGAGGCTGGGAATTTGGAATCTAATCAATAAGCTTCCACATTAACCTCTTATACTTGCTTCCACGTTTCCCAGCAACCATGGCTCCTTCCAGAAAGCGTGACAGAGCCTCAGGGATTGTGAGAGCTCTGACTGCAGGGACCATCGCCAGCTTCATGACAGCCTGCATCGCAGGTACTGCTTCCGGTCTTTGTGTCCTGTCTCCCTGTGCCCGCAGCTTTCAGGGGGCAGTGCCTCCAACCTGCATATCCAGCATGTGCTGTGCAGAGAGCTGAGAGGTAGTGTGCTGTTAAGCATATTGTGAAGTGAAGTGTGTGGAGCGTGGTGGAGAAGCTAAGAACAGAAGAAGAGTTCAGTGACTTCGTTAGTTAATAAAATCAGTGGCCCTCTGTTCCACTTCTAGGCATACTCTCCAGCACTCCTGTAGACACCAACTGCCATCACATTCTAGAGAACGCCTTCCACTCCAGCTCACCTGAAAACACAACTGATGTAGTGTCTTGTTGCCAGAGTCTATTGAACAGGTATTGTATTCTTGATTATAACTTCTTTATATCCATTATTAATTTAAAAATTAGACCTAAAGACCCCTTGCACTTATTTTTATAACTTCGTAATTCTTACTTGACTTAAATATAAGAACTTGTATGGCAATTCTAACCGCCTTTCATTTTGACTTTTCTCAGCTAAGACTAGGAACTATAACCACCTAAGGTTGCTCAAGCATTTCATACGCCCCCTCTGTGTCTTAGGCGCTTGGAATGCATTAGCTCACTTACACCTTGCAAACACTGTGTACCTTAGGCACTATTACTTTTTTAAGCATTATGTAAAATCAGGGCTTGGGGAGGCTATGTCACTGACCCAAGCAAAATGAGTGCAAGCACAATCAAGATAGAAAGACCCAACAAAATTTGGGTCTTTCTGCCCACAGAGCCCATGCCCTTAACTAGTACTCTAGTACTCTAGTACCAGTTACTAGGTGCTGGGGGCTGCTAGTGACCCATGCCGGCCACACCAACCTTGTACAGTTTCTATTTGCAAAATCACTGTCTCCACAACATCTGCCCTTGTGAATGTGCAAGTGTTCTGTAAGGATTAATTCTATCCTTTCTTTGTTTATTCTGGAGGAAATAGGGGGAGTCCTTGAGGCCAAACAGGATTTGAGATTCAAAACCAATTCTTTGGTGCCTCTGTCCTTAACACCGTAACCTGAATGTGAGGGGGGAATCAGCTCCCTGTCTTATGCTATTTTTAGTGTGTCATCTACTGTTTCCATCTTCTAAGGCTCAGCTATCTGTTTCATTCCACTTTGTACCAGCACTGTTGCGAAGGGTCTTGAGGAGGTCATTCCAGGAGGAAACCACAGCCTGTATTCTTTGAAGAACTGCTGTGAATTGTTAATTTCATCAACATTGAACTGCAGTTGCATCTGCAGTCCATTTTGAGTTCAGCCACTTCTCCAACAGAACTCTAAGTACAGGTGCTGAACTTTCTGCTTTGGGGAGGGAAAAAAAACTATCCTCCACAGATTGATACTTCCACCGTGGAATCAGCTTTAACTGGAAAGAAGAAAAACAGGCGAGAATGCTTCAGATCTATAGCATCTTCCTCCTCTCCTCAGCCCTTTCCCTGCTGAGATTTACTATGGTGTCCCAAAGTGAGGTGTTGTCTCCAGTCCCAAAAATGTTGTCTGACCTTAGAATTTCAGGACATTTAACCAGAATACAGGTACAAAGGTTGGCTCACAACAACTGGGCTGGGACTAAGCCGTCCCCACTTAGTGTGAGTCTCTAAGTAGTCCAGAGTGACTCATTTAAAAAATGTCTCAGGTGAGGTCTCTCTGCATTCACCCTGGCTGACCTGAAATAGCCTAAACTTGAATCTCACATGGAGGAGGACCAATAACATATCACCCACTCATTCCCTGCCCTGAGGAAGTCCCACAGAAATCAGGAGTCCTTCAGGAGAGCACCTAGACCATTCCAAAGCTAGGTTTTAAATCCCTTGTGCTTAGATTTATATCAGTCAGCTTAAGTTGAACTATGCTGTAGTAACAAATAATTCAAAAACCTTGGTGGCTTACAAGTTTATTTTTCCCTCATAGTATGTGCTTATTGAGGGTCAATTTTGGCTATACTCCATGTTGTCTTCATTTCCAGGACCCAGGCTAAAAGAACAGCCCCTATGTGGGGCATGTTGGTCTTATGGGAGAGGGAAAAGAAATGTGAGGACCACATGATGGCTCTTAAAACTTCTGCCGGGATGTGACACTTTTCACTTCCACTTCATTCCATTATCCAAAGCTAGTCCTGTGACAAGCATGAGTCATTGCCCATAGATGATTTATCCTGTCGAAGGAGGGATAGTGAATATTTTGAAGAAATAGTATGATATACCACATGGGTACATAATATCCATGTCTCCCTTCAAAAAGTCAGCCTGTTATAGGGCATAACTGTTAGCCTATTCATGTGCAAATTTGGTTATGTTCCTGGTGACAAGACTGGAAAATGGTGCAACTCTTTAGTCAAAAGGCTGTGTAATGGGGCTGGCCTGGTGGCGTAGCAGTTAAGTGCACGTGCTCTGTTGCAGCGGCCCCGGATTCGCAGGTTCGGATCCTGGGCTTGCACTGACGCGCCGCTTGTCAAGCCATGTTGTGGTGGTATCCCGCATAAAGTAGAGGAAGATGGGCACAGATGTTAGCTCAGGGCTGATCTTCCTCACACACACAAAAAAGCCACTTAAGCACCATTTGAAGAAGAAAAATAAGTCTTGGTTGAGATCTGAAAACCTTCCATTGATACTTTCAGAAGAGCATCAGCATCAAACTTGCTTAATGGGTATCCAACAAGAATCTTAATGGGTTCTGAGACTTATGATGTCTCAGAAGGAAATTCCAGAAATAATGGTGGCGTGCTCTTTAATGAAATGCTCATCATCAACGCCCTTGAAAGCATAAGGACCACATTTTGTGAGAAAACACAAACTAGTAATGACTGAATTAAAAGATGATTCACACAAAAGAAAGTGTGTGAAAAAGGTTTTGGAATTCCTTAAGTAGTTTAATTATATGTTTTGTTTTTTGTTCATGCACAAGTGTAATTTTTTTAATTCTAGTGTAAATAGTTGATTTTGTGTGTGTGTGTGTGTGTGTGTGTGTGTGTGTGTTATTGTGGTGGTGGTGGTGAAGGAGGGAGCTAAATGCCCAAAGAACTCTTAATCTGAAGTACAATATACTAGGATATTTCTAATTATTGATCATTTGTATCAAATTTTTCTTGGAACTCAGTGTGTCCCTTCAGTATTTAGACTTTATTTTAGGAAAATATATTCACATGTCTTTTCCATCTGTTTTTAGTATTCTGGTGTCAGCCTTCATAAAAGCCTATGGCATAGTGTGTCAGAGATGCCAATTATTCATATGTTGGTTCTTCTTGGTCTGCTATCACTGTTATTTTTCTAACTCATTTTTTCTCCTTTTAATTCTTTGCATTTTTCTATTTTGTTTTATTCCTAAGAGTCTTTTTCTGAGAGAATCTCTTTGCTGTTTCTAGTGTGCCTCTCTGGCCAACTAATTTTCAAATTCTGTCTGTTGCCATTACTATTCCTTGGATGTTTGTAGCTCTTCTTTGAGCTCTTTTTTTTTTTTATTTCAAGGAAAATTTAATTATTGCCCTTTTTCTTACTGCTTTCTTCTTTTCCATCAAAAGTTAACATCCATTTGTATTAAAAAGTGATCATGTTCTACACACACCTTCACATATCTTTCTGCCTACCCTGTTCACCCCAGCTCTCTTTCTAGTACCACACACCCTGAAGATTATTATTGTTAATTAGCATATGCACCTTTCTCCAAACTTATATAAGAATATGGTGAATTTGTTGTTTCTACACAAATAGAATGAGCCTCTTTACATATCACCTTCAACTTCTTTTCACTTGGAAATACACTTTGGATATTCCTACAAGTCCTTATATATAGTTCTAACTCTATCCTTCCCTTCCTCCTACTGTGTGTGTGTGTGTGTGTGTGTGTGTGTGTGTGTGTGTGTGTGTGTACAATTCTACATAAATGAGATACTATACATGCTGGAGATGGGAAGGAGTTAGACATTTTATTTTCTTTCTACCTGCTTCCCTCCTCCTCTCTCCTGCCCCTGGTTCACCACATACAGGTAACCTAGGTTAAATACCTTGATGTTTTTTAACGTTACTGTACTTTTTTCCTGCGCTTTTTCATGTTCCAGTCATATTTTACAGACATATCCATCTATCGAGGATTGGGATGGTAGTTTTACAATACAGATCTTCCTTGACTTACAATGGGGTTACATCCTGATAAACCCATCATAAGTTGAAAACATTAAGTCAAAAATGCATTTAATACACCTAACCTACCAGACATTATAACAGCCCAACCTACCTTAAACATGCTCAGAACACTTACATTAGCCTACAGTTAGGAAAAACCATGTAACACAAAGCCTATTTTATAATAAAGTTTTGAATATCTCCTGTAATTTGTTGAATACTGAAAGTGAAAAATGGAATAGTTTATGGGTACAGAATAGTTGTAAGTGTATCAGTTGTTTACCCTCACAATCACGGGGCTGACTGGTAGCTGTGGCTCTGCTGCTGCTGCCCAGCATCACAAGAGAATATCGTACTGCAAATCACTAGTCCGAGAAAAAGATTAAAATTGTGTATCGCTTTCACACCATTGTAAAGTTAAAAAATCGTAAGTTGAACCATCGTTAAGTTGGGGACCATCTGTACTGAGATTACTCACATGTCTATGCAGTTTACTTTTCCTCTATAACAATGCTTTGCTGATAGTCAAGTCCACTGGCAAAACGTTATTCTTTTCAAAGGCTTCATAATAGCCCCTGACGTATTATGTGTATGTATGAGCCATTCTTCTAAGGACAAGCATTCATTTTGTTTCCAGTTTGTTTTTATTTTGTTTTTTGGCTACTTTGAACAGTGTTTGTCCATTTACTTTACATACTGCTGTTTTATTTTCTTTAGCAGTGCTGTCTAAGAAATATAATGCAAGGTTCATGTACTTTAAAATTTCCTAGTAACCACATGAAAAAAGTACAAAGAAGCTGGTAAAGTTAATTTTAACAATATATTTAGCCCAATATATCCAAGATATTATTTCAATGAGATATTTTACATTCTATTTATTGAATTACGTCTTTAAAATATAATGTATATTTTATACTTAGAGCTTGTCTTGAGACACTAAATTTTCATTGGCAATACTTGATCTGTATTCATATTTCATAAAATTTACAGTTGAAAAGTAGATTTACATATCCAGGTTGTTCCAAACATGCTTGAAAGTTTTCCAATGGAAACTTCCACTTACAACTGAAATTAATATCATTTTTAAATTAAAATTTTAGGTCCCCAGTTCAATATATGAAATAGTTCTATATTCCAAGTATTAATGGCTATTATATCAGACAGTGAAATTCTATAGGATGATTTCCTAGGTGAATTGAAGTGTGTGTATATGGTATTAATATACATTACCAGATTGCTTCCTAGAAAAAATGTTGTCTTAATTTTCATCTGCTTTGTGGTACAATCTTTCTGAGGTGTTTTATTCACCTACTTCTGTGTGTATACGTGATATTTTTAATGCAACATGTTCACATAAGTCCCATTCTGATTTCTTTTCTTAATATTGTCCATCCTTGAACTGAGGATGGGCTTACAATTCTTGAGCCATATGAGAAAAGACAGTAAGGGTAAGGACCAGGTGAATGAGCTGGTGAGCACTGTGGGCTTGTTGCATCCAGAACCTCCAGAACCTTCTCAATCCCCTGTGAATGTGGTGAGTGGCTCTGGGCTGGCTGGAAGTGTCCCTCCTCCCAGTGAAACTACTTGATGGAGGTTTTTGGTGCATGGTGATGTCTTCACTCTTCTTTAGCAGACAGAGAAGGTGGAAGGCTGTTTGCTCCCCACAGTTTATCCTCTACCCGCCCACCCATAGTCTTCTAGGACAGCAAAGATGTGGTGTCTGTGTGTTTCCGTTGTATTTGCTCTGTTGTTGTCTGAGGTCACTGAGGGCTGACAGCATGTTACTGTCAGTCTACACACCCGGAACGTGTTTCAAGCCAAGGCTGAGACATCTATTTTGAAGAATTCTGTACTTTGTCTAGTCTGTCCCTGAAATTTGAAGTCCCCAGCCTTCTCTCTGTGTCTATCTTCACACTGGTACAGTTTTCACTAATCTGAAAACCCTTTTCAAACACAGTATTATGGGTCCAGACATGAATTTTTCCTAATTTCAGTGAAGATGGCAGTTTGCTGGCTCTCCTTGTTGTTTTCCGTTGGTTTGCAAAAGGAGAAGGAGGCAGAAATGGCATTTCTCTCCCCGGTCCAGAAACTGTGGTTGTAAACAAATTCTCTGACCCTCCAGAGGCCTTAGGGTCTCAGTAGAGAATAGATTGGAGTCATGGGATATGGAGAATTTTCTTTGATTTTTTTGTCCACTGGTAAAATCAGCACATCCACACAGTTAGATCTGAGTGAGAATGTCTCTGTAACCACACAGGTTATTAACATGCATTCATTTTGCAAATGCTTCCAATTAATTGTTTTTATATTTCTGTAGTTTAATTAGGCTGGTAGGCCACTGTGAAGAGCTTAAGACGTGCACTTGCCCAGTGAGGCTGCCTTCCAATCACAGAACAGTTCCAAAGTCAGGCATGCTTATAAGGGGGGTATTGAAGGACACAGTGTGCTCTAGTGTACTAGAGCAAGGGAAGGGGTGGCAATCATTCGCATTTGAACAGGTGAAACCCCAGGACTTAAGGAAGAAACGTCTGGTACAGGTGCACCATATGGTGCTAATGAGCCATATGATCCTGAGAAAAGCTACTTTTTACAATCTGTTACTTAATTTAAAAAATTAATTAAAAATTACTTTGTTTTAAACTAAAGCAAGAAGAGAAGTATGTACTTACCCATTCTTTCTCTGGCTGTAAAGACAGCACAAGCTTATGATGATAATTATACTTCGCTTTACATTACAAAGGCAACGTGACTGCCCCCTGGACATAGAGTGAGTGCTTTCGACCCTGGTCATTAGTGGGCTACTTGGCAATTTCATTGCAAGAGACTCTAGAAAGTAAACAAAGAATCGGCACCAAGCCAGCCCTCTTACCCATTATGCCTTTTGCATAATGCGAAGACAGTGACTGATTTTAGGGATCAGCCTGTAGCCATGGAAGAGAGAAAAGCACTCAAATGACAACCTTGAAATGTGGTCCTCTGGCAACTGACAACCAACCCCTTTACCATGAGAAACGAGAATTAGGAAAAAAAACTGATGTTTTACAAGCCATGTTAACAGGTACAATCAGCCCTACATCATCCGTACACTGGGTGTGCTTCTGGTAATATTCAGAAAATAAGATTGCAGAACCCTAGGTCACTCAGAAATACTTCAACTCCTCTCACCCCCAGTCATGTAGAGCCACCAAACCCATGGCCAAAAGCAGAGCTAGGTCAGTATTCCCTGGACTAATCTAAATCGCTCCAAGTGCAGAGTGCCTGCCTCGTTCCATAATTGTTTGCCCATATGTCTGTCTGACTACTAGCCTACAAATTCCTATGTATCTCCAGTACCTAGAATCTGGCATCTTGTAGACATTTGGGAAATGTTTATCCAATGAATGAATGAGTGAATATTGCAAAATGGCCAACCCTTACATAAGTAGGAACAGTTACTTGGTTCACTGTTAAAAACTTTTTAAAAACCTCATCTAAAATGCATACTTATAATAAAAATTGCAAATGATGTGCAAATGTATAATTGAGAAATTAGAAATTTCCTCCCTCCTCAATTTCATTCCCCATAGTTGGCCACAGTTAACACTTTGGTGTCACTATTATTTTTTCTCTATGTATTTTAAACAATACAAGTTACAACTATCAAACTGGAGTGGA